AGTAAGGTTGTACAGACCTACTGGATAGCCCATCATGACAGTAAGTTTGTACAGAGACATGGTAATCATGCTTTCTGTCTCTCCACCCATCTGTTTACATCTCTTTGTGATCACAACTGATCCCACATTTTTGTATCAAATTTTCAAAATTTGTTATGTAATGAGAATCATTTGATGATTTGCATATTGCTGAATTATTCCTCTACAAAATTGAACCTAGAACACTGTTTAAAAAACCATATGATGGTAATCTCTGTAACAAGTTATGTAAAAAACTAAAAGACCTGGCAAACTTTCTTATTTAAAAACATCCAAGAAATGATTGAACTTTTTTAAAAATACATCGTTAATGTCAGACGAACCAGATCATTTTTAATAATTCATTTACAGGTTAATTGTTATGTAAAACAACAATTACTTCAAACTCAATTTGAATACATCGTAAATGTCAGCCGAATCAGAGCATTTTTTATGTAAAACAACAATTACTTCAAATTCAATTTGAAAGTGCTATTGTTGAAATCTTACAGTACAAATAACAGAATAATTTACAGTTGTCACTTTAGCATCAGTCTAGTCACTGGTGTTTCCTTTTCACTGATACAATTGGAGTGTATAATGATGTACTAAACATTTCTCTTCCGTAGCTGTTGGTAACATACTTTAGCTGAAACAGTAAGTAAAGGTACAATTGCTTGTAATTATATCTTATGGAAAATAGCCATTCATATGTGTATATGCGATATAATGAAATATTTTGTGTTTTTTAGCCCTCTCAGCCAGATGAGCGATGGCAGGGCTCTCGCTCTGAAGCTATCCTAGACCGACAACAGATGGGGTTGGGCCCACCAGAACAAGGGGAGGGGAACAGGTACTGGCCTCACCCTGGGGCTAACACTAACCCAGCCTTCTCAGACATACCCAACGCTTTGGATAGATCCCCGGGACCTCCCATAAACAGGTGACTGTCATAGTTAATATAAACAAATGAACAGCGACATACTCTGAAGTTCTTAGATCTTAAATAAGTCATTTCACAGCGTGCTTGTCTTTGATATTAGTAACACTGCTGTTTACAACTTTTCTGGTTCTTTTATCAAGTCAAGGACAGATACTGTCTTAAGGTATTTAGCACATGTTTCATTTGTGTAAAGGATATTGCCTTTAATAGATAGTAGATCAGCCTTAACCAATAGTTCAGTACATTATGTACATGTATTAGCAAAGTGTTAAATAAATGGATATTTGTTGGTGTGCCATCAAGTGTGGAACTATTTTGGAAAGGAGATGAAGTGTAATAAAGTAGCGTACATCTTTAAGTTGACTTATATTTTTGTTGTTTCTTTTCTGAAAGATGTACCAGAATTTAAGACCTACTTTATATAATTCTACAGAAATCCAATGGGAGGATCTGAGCTGAGGGACGCTTGGAATAAAATGTATGGTCGTCCAGGGCGACCAGAAATGCCAGGAATGTCTCGACCTGTCAACAGTCCAGCCAAGAACAACCAGTACCCCCACCTACAGGTAAGCATTACGTTATATCACCTTTATTCATCAGTCTTGTAAGTAAGATAAAGATGTTTAGTAAGAAATAATACCAAGGTTATATCTAGTTCAGTACAAGTTACATATGGTGGCCATTTTTTTGTAGATATTTTTATTTCTGTGAAGGAAAATCAACTATCATTCGAAGTGTTCTAATAAGTTATGTTACAAGATCAAACAGCTTTCTTAATCAATTTAGCTTCTCTTGAAAATTTGTAAAAAATAATAAAACCTACGCTTCATTTATTTTTAATGTGTGCACATATCCTTTAATGTTTCTTTCTGTGTTCCAGCAAGTTGTACTACCTGCTGTCCCATCCCCACATGTTAGTAGTGATTTACCTGGACGTTACAGTGCACCGGCCATCACAAGTTCAAGGACAAGTCCTATGGGCCAAAGTTCAAGTACCCAAGGTCAGGGGTCAAATTCTAGTCATTCAGGATTGGAAGTGGACACAGGTGTGTCAACGTTTCAGACTTTCGGGAAATCCTCTGATCAAAGTGATAATTCGCCCTCCCAGAGTACATCCCCATCAGGACTGACAATAGGGCCAGCTTCAAAATATCCTGACAACGGTGGTAATAAACCTATTGTTAGTAGACACAAACCAGGGGTGCCACCAAAACCATTCAACCGTGAGGACCTCAGGGACAGTAGGACCAAGTCACCAGCAAGTTTCAGTGCTGACTACAGAGAGGATGTTCCTCCTGTGGGACTGAAGTCTAAGATCACCGGCAGGTCTATCACTCCATTTTCTATGAACGATCCATTTGGGAGGGAGAGTAACTATAACCAGACGTTTACAAATGGTGGTTTTACCACCAGTACGTTGGGCAGTGAGGGCCCAGGGGATGTTCAGGCCAGTATATTTGACTATGTGACCCCTAGTGAGGCCTCTTCCCGGTCAGTAACCCCTCCCCTTCCTCCCTTGTCTAACTCAGAGTCAGAGTCAGAACTCTCCAGTCCACACGTGTCACCACGGCTACAACGTTCTGCTAGTGCTGACATATTCTCAACACAAAAGACTCCAGACCTTCTGAGTAACACACGGCCAAACAACGACCCCAGGTCACGAAAGGGACCAGCCTCCCACTTAAACTACCGCCAAGACAGGAAACACTCCAGAGGCCAACGGTTTGGAAAACCTCCAACAGGAAGAATTCTTATCAATGGTCGCATGGAGGGTGAGTACTCAACATAGATTTATTTTCTTCTTGGCTATTAATATTAAGGCACATGGGCTGTTAGTATGTACAATGTATAACATTCCCAATAGGAAAATCTTATTGCAACTTATAATGAATATGTATGTTTCAGGTGGTTTCACAAATGATTTACGTGAATCTGCTGGTGACGAGAGTGATCTGCCCTTTGATATAGAGGATACCATTTTAACAGTGGAATCTCATGATACAGAGCCAGTAAAACTCCGTGATTTTCCACAGCCCCCTGGAGATATAGACAACATGAAAAACAAAATGGACAATTTAGAGGGCATGTACCAGGATATTATGAAAGTGTTAGGTGTAGACAGGGAAACTGTTACCACAGTGATGAACCGTGCACCACGGCGACGGTGGAGTATTGGAAGCTCTGACACCAGTTCTTTACGGAGACCTGTGAAAAAAGGTCGTGGTTCAAGTACAACAACAAATATGGGAGGTCATCATCGTCATCATCACTACAGTCACAGGGACATCAAGTAAGTGTGGGGGTTACAGAGACATCAATAAGTGTTGGGGTTACAGGG